TACTACAGAACATCATTGCTTGAGAGTTGGGCTATCATTTTTCAGTTGCAAAAATCCAGGTAAATCACAAGATGGTAGCAAATAGATGCCAAAAGTCTATCTGCTGCCACCTAGTGGTCAACTGGAGTTTTGCAGTTCAGGTAGGATAGTCTTGCTTGAGAAGCCATTTGAACCCAACTTCCCCCAGTCATAAAATCAACTATAACTTTAACTACTGCTTCCTAGTGGATAACCAGTTTTTTTGCAACTTGGATGGTTGTCTATGAATTGTTATATTTTTCCATTCTATAAGGAATTAGAATCAGCAACAAAATCAGTAGCAAACAGAATGGATACAGCACTTAAAGCCAGTATCAGTTCTGGCTGGTATTGACTCCCTGGAAGAAAAGTTTGAGAAGGAGACTTTTTTCTTGTTATCTTTTTTAAAGTCTGATCATATGCATATGAATCAATCTATCCCTTTCATTTCAACATAAGAACTCACAAAATGCATGTCCTCCGGGTATAAATACCTAGTTGCCTTACTTTGGAACAAAAAATCCAAAAAATCAACAATAGAATTGCTTATTAGTCAAGCCAGGAGAAAAAGTGGTCTGGGTAGGAAACAGATGGACATTAATGAAAGAAGATATTGAGGAAGTAAAAGAATTATAACCAACTCAGTTTAAAATATTTAAATTCTATTTATCATATGGCTGCTATATCTGAGCTGCAGAAAACTGGATCTAACAGTTGGCTGGATTTTTGCAATCCAAATCTGATCACTGCAGCTATTTGCTACCTTTAAGTCTTAGAAAGGCAGGTAACATATGGGTATTTAGTCAGTCAGTCAATAATGAATCCAGTCCATACAATTAGGTGATGTTTTGGAGATCAGAGAGCAAAGAGAACCTGAGGTACTAGCTTCATTCTCCAACAATCTTCTGCCCTAAAAATGATTTAGAGATTCTCATTACTTCTTTTACTACATTTTTTTTACTGATTATTGAGTAGTGATTACTATATTAAATAACAGCAGCACCAATAAATTTTGATCTGAAAATTCTCCATCCCCCCCCCCATCCATCTTTCCAGACTTAGTAAATAAGAAGCTGTTTTCAGTTGCATCAACACTTAGATCAGGGGTCTTCAACCTTGGCACCCTGGCTGAGGAATTATGGGAGTTGAAGTCCACAAGTCATAAAAGGACCAAGTTTGAAGATCCCTGAGTTAGATGGTTTGCTTCATTAAGAGAATCAATTTGACTAGATTCCCCCTTTTGCTTTTTAGAGGTGGGACCTCAGCATCTTCTCAAGCAAGGCAAGCCAGGTGGCAGATCTAGGCAGCTGTGTTCTGCCAGCCTTTTAATGGCATACTAAGAGGGAGAAGATGATGGCTCCAATGTGAGAAAAGCATCAACACAGTAGAATCCAATCAGAAAGTTTGAAAAGAGTCCTATGTGGTACTATGCAACTATCTTTGCAAACAGGCTGAATAAATATATATATAAAAACCTTCTTGGGTTATACTATATATGTTTACTCAGAAAAAAATCCCATTGTATTTAAACAATTTTACTCACAGATAAGAGGATACAGAATTGCAGGAAAAGTGACTTAAAATAGGCTGTGTGATTTGGTGTGCACCAGTGATTTAAGTAATAGATGCAACCCAGAGTAAATCTGGCTGTACTTGAAATAGATAAATAGTTGCAACAGAAACGATCCCATTACAAGGCACAAGCTTTCTGTTAGGCACTTTATTTTTAAAGCTGTGCTGTAAACTAAAATAAATTCACATTTATTCATTCATTTAAACATTGTCCATGTCTAAGAACATCTGTGCATGCATGATCTTAAAAATATTTTAAAAGTGTTTTAAGCCAGAAGTCCACTTTTTTTTTCCTGACCAGAGTTATCATTTCACCAACCTGTCTAATGAAACTGCTAAAATTGCATCAGCTTGCCTAAAACACAGAGCTTTTATTCAAGAATCCCAATTCTCACAGGATTTTGTCATTGTCAGATAAAGTTCTTGCAATCTCTGGAATATGTCAGAGCATCCTAACATTTTACTACTTCAGGAATTGTTGACATTTTTTAAAAAAAGAGTGTTCACATAATGCTTTTGATAATGCTTTTTGGGCAGGCCAAATGAGTCCTGCCATCCAGAAGCTCCATAGTTATTGATCCTGCAGTAAGTGGCCAGAGCCCATTTGACAGAAGGAATAACCTATTTCTATCCAGATAAGATCAGAATCGGGCCCTGGCCAAAGCTGGTAGATCTTTGCCGGCAACCAAAGTACATAAACCGGGGAGAAGATGATGATTTCTCTTTGGCAGTTGCCTTGTTCTGGCTGCCAGCCAGTTGCAGTGAGCCCAGTAAGAATGAGCTAATTTTTCAGTGGGCTGAACCAGAAGTGCAATTGGATAGGTGCCTCAGCATAAAATGCGGCCTTCATTTTTTCAATGGCTCACCCTTTGCGATTGCTTATCGTACCAAACTTCTCACAGGTATTTGAGTTGTTTGCTGGCAGCAACCCCAGTTGTGAAGTAAGGGACCTTCTTCCCCCCTTCCTTGGCCTGCCGCCAGTCATCTTGTGGTGCTGTTTCAGCACAAGAGGCAGATCAGCTGCCAGCAATGGATTAACCCATCAGGGAGTGTGCTGGGTGGCAGCTCTGCCTTTGGCTCTGCAGGGTCACAGAGGGAAGCAGGCTGTGGCAGTTACACAGGCCCCTTCCGCAAGACCTCCCACCACGCTGCTTTGCCACTTAATGAGCAAACCAATTTGTGAGTCACTGTTTATTCGCAAGGGGAACAAAGTGAGAAACTTGACAAACTGGGTTGCAGTTGCTTCTTCTTTTCATATCCACCGACTGCTCGTTCTGGGCATTTGGGGCAATTTGGAAAGCATGACAACATTGCAAAAGCTCGCATTGCAGATCTTCCAGTTTACAGAGAGCAGGAGAAAGAGCAACTGTGAGAATGCACCCCCTTTGCAAAGAGTAGCATGAAGCGAGTGTCACCGTTCTGCACAACAAGCAAACTGATGGCAACAGCTGAAGTTCAAAGCCCAGCAGTGACACACATTGTATTATGAAATCTGGGTGGGTGAAGGCCAAGCTCGGAACTGAAATAAAAAGCCTCTGAGGCAACATTGCTATCAGAGCAGCTTACATTGCGTGGCATAATTACTGGCTTTATTTTCAAGCTGTTTTTATTTGAGCTGAATAAAGTTCTATTTTATTGTTGAACTAAATAAAATTGACTGGTGTGGGAAAGGGCCTTGGATGAAAAATGATATTTAGATGCTTTGGCTCTCTTCTCCATTTTCTGTTCACTTCAACATTCATGTTGCAACTTTAAAAATCAATACTGGCATTAATGTGTTAGTAGATCTAAATAGGTATGAGGGAAAAGAGGTATCTATCTATCTATCTATCTATCTAGCTAGCTAGCTAGCTAGCTAGCTGATTTAACAATGCAGATAAAAGGGCCAGGGCTTCAATACCTTTGGTTGCAGATATAATGAAGCAACCATAATAAAGCAATAAAGGAGAACTAATTCCTTTAAAGATGCTCTTCCTTCTCTCCTGAGATGCAAAAGGATATAACTGTGCTGCAGTTTTGAGGTGAAATTATTCTTGCATTGTCCTCTTATTTGGGCAAATTCATAGAAAAAAAGAGTTAGAAGAACTAGTGAGTTCAGTAACCCATCTCTTTATGCACACATCAAAGAATATCTCTAAACAGGAATGGAATCCACAGAGGGATGTTCCAGAGGTATGAAGCGGTATAAATGACTCACTGATCCGTTAACACTTCCGCTTATAATGACTCCTGCATCTAACAAGCAGTGACATGATCCTTTTCCATCCCAGGAAGGTTGAATCCCTTGGTCTATTTTGCTGTTGTTTATGACACACACTGTGCGAGAGAGAGAGAGAGAGAGAGAGAGAGAGAGAGAGAGAGAGAGAGAGAGAGAGAGAGAGAGAGAGAGAGAGAGAGAGAGAGAGAGAGAGAGATACAAAGAAAGGGAGGGAGAGACAGCCTAAACAGGAGTTGGTTAATTTGACTTTGAAAAATATCATGGTAAATAATGCGAGTAAACTGCTGAGTTTAGTAGGATTCCATTCCAGTGAAGAGTTTGTTAAAAATCTGATCTTGGCACTGTAACTCAAGCCAATTAACTCTATATTATTGATCTGGTGGGAAGGACTGAAATATTTTTCAAGCCACTGATTATTATGGAAGCACTTGCATTGATCTGAACATTTTCTTTATTCGTGTTGTCATGATCTAATTATTGGATCATGACAACACCATTCAAGACAAATGTTTAATACATTTTAATATAAACTATGGTTGACAGTAATTAAGCTTATATAAAAAGGAGGCTGCAGGTATATCTCCACTACCTCTCCCTCCCCCCCCCAAAAAATTAAAACAGACCTGCAATAACATCATAGGATAGATCATCAGCAAATATGGACTACAGGTCATCACCCAATTACATAAATTTACAAATGAGTGAACAACATATGAATCTCAATTTTGCTCTGAAATATGTCATTCAAAAACTTGGCAAATATCTGTATTTGCAAGAATCCAAATAACCATCAGATTGCATTAAAAAGAATCAGGAACTTTTAAACTGGCAGTACAAATATTCAAACAAGTGACTTGAAATGGATAGCTAGTTTCCTACTGAAATATGGAAGGAAACTAAGCAATCTGGTTTTTAACCAGATCATTTATTTATTAGATTTTTATCCTGCCTTTATTACTTTACAAGTAACTCAAGGCAGCTAAGATACCTAATACTCCTTCCTTCTCATTTCCCCCCCCCAAACAACAAACCTGTGAGTTGGGTTGGGTTGAGAGAAAATAACTAGCCCAAAGTCACCCAACAGATTTTTCTACCTAAGGTAGGACTAGAACTCAGTGTCCTGGTTTCTAGGCCAGCACCTTAACCATTTATACCAAACATTAAATTGGCAACTCTTTCTTTGATTTTTCAGGAATGGCAGCAGAAAACCAGTAATCTTCCAAGTCAATAAGAGGGTAAGAGGGAATGGAGTGATGGAGGAAAGTGATGTGTGAAAAGAGAGTATGATTGTTATGTCTATAAATGCATGTATTTAGCCTCTGATCTTACAAATGGGATTTTAAAAACCAGCACAATTTTATGACCATCCTTCCTTCTTCACATTGGGACAGAACTTGATAGTTGTTTTTTTCTTAACCTATATAAATAAAACATGATTGTTGCTTAATTGGGCAGAATATTGAGATTTCACTGACACAGAAAAGAATGATTTAATTACATTTTAAGCCAATGCTTGAATTCCATGGATGCTCATATGCATCATAACAAAATTATGATCAGCATATCTGAGTGGGTGAACTATCTATTTGAATACAAATCTACACTTAGTTATGAATATCAGTCAATAAGTGACCCTAGAAAGATATGCAATTGTTTATTAGCCTGCTTGATATGATTGTTGTTTAAATAAAAATTCTCTAAATGCTGATATGAACATCTTGAAAGAAAGCCAGGTTACCCATGATTAATGAACACTGTTGTGATGTTTTAGAAGCAAATTAAAATAGTATACCAATGTAAACAAGTCCCAATCCCAGTATCTTGCAGAACTTTGTAGTTAATTTCAGCTTTAATTCAATGCCCTTGATTTTTATATGTAGCTTTAAGCTGAAATGCCTAGTTAAATTATTGTAGAAGGTTTCATTATTTTCTTAGAGAGGAGAAAATTGAAAAATGGATTTCCCAATACTCGTTCAATCTGGCAGAATATATATTGTGTTGGTGAAGACATTTGGGAGTGTCAAATACAGTTTAAGCATGTACTGAAAGGTTTTAGCGTAACCACCAGGATGTGTTCTATTCAAATCTTTTCTCTGCCAGTAAGATGGAAAGATATAGATCTTTAATAACATTAAATTGCTCTTGGGAAAATCAGTCGTGAAGATCAAGATGTTTTCATAATTCCCTTTCTATAATGATGAGATTATTCAATCTTTTATCTTTTATAGAATCTTCAGGCTCTGATGTTCTATCAAAGCCTCCAATAATATGTGATAAGGTGTGTATAGACTTACAGCCACTAGAAGAATTAGACTCTGATGCTCCATTTTTATGTTATAAGATTGTGTAAACCATTCAAAATAAGTGCTTCAAAACATGCAGGAGCAGATACAAGGCATTTAATAATTAAAATAGTTGGGTTACACAGCTGCTTCAAACCATCTCCACATGTGTGTGCATGTGTAGTTGCTTTGCGTTGTTTGAAAGAGAACTGGAAGCTATTAAAAATGATAAAGTTGTAAGATGAGAGAGAATAACTTTCAGAAACCAAACTATTCAAAGCTCTATGTCTCTGTGCACATTTTAACACTTAATTCTGTTTCTATATTCTGTTGGAATATCCAAGTTAAAGCATAAACCTATGGTTGGAAATGATTTTGTGAACTATAGTATACATTACCTATAGAAACATGACTGAAGAGTTTTAGGGTAGTTTATTCACCTCTTCATTATCTCAGAATGCAAGTTAGGAAGCTGACAATACATGTCCCAAAGGAATGAGTCTTAGCTCTCTAAAAAAAAAAATGTGATTTCTATCTACCATTGAGAATTTAATTTGGGCATGCTCATAGATATGGCTAGTGGCAGTCCACCCCTGAAGGAATCCACATTAATCAAGGAAACAGACAGCAAACAGATGTTATAATACCAAACAATGACATGAAATAACTGGCAGTTTCTTTTTCCTACTATAGGAGATTTTGTCCCTTCAGGCTCAGAGTAGTGAAGCTATCTCCAATATATGCCTGGATCTTCAGGTAAAACAATTTAATGCCTCAATTTCTTGCTACTATCTCTCCTTGTCAGAGTAATGTACAGCCTTCTGTAGCTCCCTTTTGGCCAGCTTCAGAGTCGTCTTCCTTTTCTGATTCTTCTCTTTTCCAATTCTTTATCTCTCTTTCCTTATTCTCCACTATGCAATCTCTTTCTGCCTTGTCTTAGTGCATTCAGCACTTACTTTCAAATCCTTCTTCTTATCCCTACCCTGCCTACTGTATCACCGTAGTAGTTTTATGGCCTCCTGCCCTAGTTTGTATCAGTCAACATTTTCTTCAGTTACTGATCTCACATTCTTCCTGCCAAAGGTGACTTTTATCCTCCAACCATACTTAATGTAATAGCCATTTGTGCCAACTACAGTGTGCTGAAGCATTTCCCTACTACTATATTTGCCAAAGTATTCCAAACTTTTTTCTTGTTTTTTGAAATGCCTCCCCTATGATTTTCTGTGCAATAAAAATAAGACTTTCCTTTCATGAATGAATACATAGCAGAAGAATGAATTGATACTGCCATCCAAATGTTAGTAAAGATGATCATTGACTGTTGTCAATCTTGCCTGCACAAGTTCTGAGAGAGTCTTTCCAAATAGATGAGTGTATGTACAATGCTCCTATCTATGTATCACTTCATTGTCTTAAAAAAGCAAAATTGAGACCACAGAATGGCTTGGAATCATCATCAGATAATGCAATATATTAAACTTTTCCTTGAATCAATATTTTAGTCCAGTTCATTTCAGAAACCAATCAGATCCCTGAAATGCAATGAGTTAGAATTATTTTTAGTTTAATTGAACCAGTGGACCATTTGATGGTGGTGGTTTTTTTTTTTTTTTAAAAAAGATAAAATTAGGAAATCTTTCTGTAGCTTGGGCCCATACAACACTATTGTACTTAATGCAGAATACAATCTTTACCAATGAACTGTTACTGCCAAAGCACCTTAATACTTTTTTTTCCCGCAATTAAGACATTGGATAGGAAATGATGAAGTAAGGAGGCAAAGCATTATTAATAGTTTGGACATTTTAGTTTTATATGTAAATACAGAACACTGCCTTTCTAGTTAGCAGGAGAGACTTTATAGGTCCTTTTCTACGTAGCCCAGTTGGATCAGCTAGGCATATTAGTTCCTGAGGAATTACCTGCATCTGATGGCACACATTGGGGTGCTTAAAAATAAAAGCTTTTATATTTACAAGAAGAAACTGAAGTTCTCCCCATGGGAAAATGGAGAGGTCTTCTGACATAACTGGTTTTCTTTTCTGATGTAACTGTTTTTTTCTCTAAATAATATAGTAAAGTAAGTCTTTGGCTGTAATCTGTTTTTTAAAAATGTGACCTCTCTGTCACCATCACAAGCACAAATTAAGCTGAAGTCATTTTTTCAAGTGCTTTCTCTCCTCTTCAGCCTCATTGTATTTCTCAGTTTATGGAGAATGGTTAATTTAATGTCCTCTGGCATCATAGATAAACATTTCTCTTCTGACAGAAACCTGACATTATCTTTAATAAAATTCTAAAGACAGCATATCAGCAAAAATGCAATGAAGGAGTCATGAAGTTATTCCAGTTCATTTTGAATTGAATTCTTCAAATATAGTGCTTGACCAATATTGGAGAAGGCAGGCAGACAGAATATACTTCTTGAACATTATAGCTGATAGTGTGGAGAGGTTCCTATCAGTGGGGCAAGTTATAACTTATGAGAGGTCAAACAAATAACTTCATTATGGTCGTAGACCAGCAATAGCCATCACTTTTTACAATATATTAATAATAATAATAATAATAATAATAATAATAATAATAATAATAATAATAATAATAAGATTGCACAAACTGATTACAAGCAGCGGCATGACAAAGTAGCAACAATGGTGCATTGGAAGATCTGCAAAAAATATCATTTGCCTGTAAGCAAAAACTGGTGGGATCATAAAATAGAGAAAGTCATAGAAAATGATAAAATTAAACTGCTCTGGGACTTCAGAATTCAAACAGACAAGCACCTGCAACATAACACCCCAGACTTAACAATTGTCGATAAGAAAGACAAAAAAGTCTGGATAGTGGACGTGGCAGTGCCTGGAGATAGCAGAATAGAAGAGAAAGAACTGGAGAAGATAACAAAATACAAAGACCTACAAATAGAAATAGAAAGACTGTGGCAAAAGCAAGCAAGGGTAGTACCAATAGTCATAGGCTCCTTGGGTGCAATCCCAAAACAACTGGAGCACCACTTGAACACCATTGGCATTGACAAATTCGCTATTAGTCAATTGCAAAAGGCAGCCTTATTAGGAACTGCTTCCATCCTGCGACGATATCTGTAATACCATCAAACATCCACATCTGCCTATCCCAGGTCCTGGGTAAGGACTCGATAGGTAGACAAAATGCCAAATCCAGTCTGAACATCTGGCTGACTGTGCGATGATCGATAATAATAATTAGTACTAACATTAATAGTAAATAATAACATCCCTGTTAAGAAAATACATGTTCTCAAAATGTTAGAGTCACTCCCTAGTTTATGTGAGTGGACAGCCGATTAGGCTGTGGTAAATATAATGTTCCAAACATTATTAGAGATATCTCCAAAAAATTAGCACAAGTTGACGGCTATAGATCTGTAACCAATTTTTTTCTTGTGGACATTGCCGCAACACAGTATTTTGCCACTGCATGCGTGATAGAAGAGTTTAAGTCCTGGAGGAGAAAGCCTACATAAAAATTGTCTGCCCTCCCTGGCAATCTCTCTAATAAGGGGAGAATATATACTGTCCTATAAATTCGGTATAACTCACAGATTATGAGAGGTCTATATACTGGTTACAGCAGAAGAGAAGGAATTTGACACCCTGCCTTATAGTATTGGTAGTGCTGAGTTTATTCCAAAAACGGAAAGTGGAAGCAAATTTTGGTGTATAGATGCCATTGGCCCTATTCCATACATTGCAAGCTTCTCCAGATTAGATAACAGGAATGATTGTCCCTTGTTCATAGAAAGGTGAAGGCCAGGAGTGAAAACGTAAATTGTTCTTTTGTTACTGACCATCACCATTGTAACAGTGAAAATTGTGAATTAAGAAAAATGCCCTGTTGGCAGACGTTTTCTTGTAAACAGCCATAACCTGATCCCCAAACGTCCACTGTATTCATTGCCCAAAAAGATTGGGGATCCTTGCCATAACAACCATCACCTTTTAAGGGTAGAAGAATTGTGGCCTTCCAGAATTTGCTGATTAACACCTCACAACTTCTTTCCATATTAGTTGAGGTTACTCTGAGTTTTATTTCAATTCACGGAAAGGCCACGTTTTTTCCCTCTACAAGGTAGACAGATCTGCAATGGCAAGATGTGCACAGTTTTGTTTGAACAGCGAAAAGAGGCATCTGGCTGAGTTTTTCTGGTGCCCCTTCAGTAGCAATGTTTCATGATTTATAGAGGAATATATTTATATTCCAAGTGGGATGATCAAGAACAATCCCAGGACTCTGATTCCAGGGCCATAATATATCATCTGACCAGCTGTGAGCCATATTAATATCATGTCAACTTGAGGTTAACATAGGTTAACAAACTGTTATGCAACCAACACTCCCAGCTGGTTGAGATATACAGAAAAGGAGAGAAAGGTTTTTTTTTTTGGACTGCAACTGTAAGCACTGAGCTGAACCTACTAGTGTGAAGTATATTTCTAAGACTAGACGTGTAAACCAATAATATAATTCGCTTTCCTGAGGCTCTTGGAGTTTCAAACTATGATTGTTGGATGCTGAGGTCACGATTTCCTGACATTTAGAAGCACGGAACAAATGATAATGACAACATATGTTCTAAAACAGTGGGGGGGAGGGGAATCAAAAGAAAAAACAAATGTCTCTTCAGCAACCTCAATTCCTGGTGACTACATGGGCCTATCATTTATTTTTTTCTTGGAAACAATGCAGGGGTGTTTTGTCATTGCCTCCTTCTAAGATTTTTTAACTAGCTCACGCACTGTTAATCCTGGTTGCATTTCCCATCTAAGTACAACACTGTCTTGTTTTGTTTGGGGTTTTTTTGAGTCAGGGTTGGCCTGTTCGTCTCGTGCTTTGAACAGGAAGATCCCCAATTTGGCCCAAACCCCATTCTCACTCACATCTGTTTCCCCTTCCACTTTGCAGCCCTCTCCACTAAAATTGTTGCTCTTGGTCCTCAAAAGGCTGCTCTTGGTATCATCCACCATAGTAATATCAGGGCTGGAATATGTTTATAATGGGTCGTAGGAATAACCTTGAGCAACCGGAGGAAGAGCCACAATCAATGCAATAGTCAGATAAAACACATTTGAGTCCAACGCATCAATGTAATTTGGGAAAGCATCTCAGACTTAATGCTCCCTAGTTCTCTTGAAGGTAAAAGGAGAGGGGGTGGGGGGGAACACATCCAGACTTGCAAGATTCTATTATTATAACCTTACAGTAAAAGTAGCGTTAGCATTTATAACTTTGGTTTCCTAGTCAACCTTGAAGGGCTGACAATGCCAGTATGAGGCATACTTCATTTTGGAAGTTGGCATGGAATGGATACAATGCTGGTAGAATATCTGCTAGATTTCCTAACAACTGCAGAAAAGAATTTGGGCAAATGTGCAAAGAATGCCTTCTGGAATTCTTTCCAACCCCTTTACCATCAGTGACCTTTAGAGGTATCAAGTGTTTTCTTTTGTGCAATGAACTAAGGTTGGGTGTGGATATCAGTGCTTTCCTTTGCATATCCCTTGCTTTCTGTGCAGGAAGCTTAAGACGGGCTGCAAAGATCCTACTGTGGCTCATGTTACTGGGTTGGGGGGGGGAGAGGAGGAATTTAGAAGAGCAGTTAACAGCATTCCCAGGCTGCTGACCAATTGCTTCTCTCCTGGCCTTCTGAAAAGGAGTTAAGACCCAGTTCTGCACCTCTTATGGGGATACCAGGAGAGCATGCAGCC